AAATAGCTAAAAAGAAAAAAAAAAAAAAAAGGAGAGAGAGAGAGGTGAAAAGTATGTAATTTTCTATCTCCGGTCTAGTCATGACATTAGTTGGGAGTAAAATTCTTCAAACAGAACTCTAGTTTCCTTTTAATTTATCCTGAAGTAATACATATATCTAAAGAGTAGGTTTATGTTCCTGAACCATTTTCTTATGAATCATCCACCAGCTTGTGAAGGTGCACAGTAATGTTTTTAGTTTCAACACATTAAACAACCAAACAATTTGAAGCCATAAAAGCCATCATAATCAAGTTAAATCCCAGAGCACCATTGACAAACCTCTAGTTAAAAGTTTCAAAACCTCCATAATACAGTGTGAAAGGTATATCAACATTATCATAGAAACAAAATGCATGCTAAACTTCAGATGAATTAATACTTGAAAGAAAAATAGCACATATGATGTCCTAAAATAGATCATCTACGCTAAGAGATATACAAAGAATAATAAAATAAGATTCAGCCAAAAGTATTACCTGAAACATTTTTTCCTATCACTACATGCAGAAATCTTCCAGGGACTCCTGCATTGACATCATCCCTTTTGGATTTCAGATAGAAATTTAGCTTTTCAATGCTTTCACATGATTCAGAAACTTCCATTAGTGGTGACCACCCATTGTAAAATGAAGCTGCTGACTGAGGAAGTGAGATGCCAGAGAAATCATCTTTTCTTTTCTTCACACTGAAAGACTTTTCAATCGAGGTCCTTGCTGGGTTGTCCGGAGTTTGATATTCTTGAAAGGTCACAGGCTCACATTTATTTGTTCTATTATTAAGATCTTCCGAATCAGGGTTCAAATTTGACAAAATAGTTGGGAAAGCAAATGGTAATTTTCTGCCACCCTTTAACCACCTTCCAGATGATGATCTCTCAAAGGGTTCAAAAATAATATCCAAGCCTGAATCATCCATTTGGTGTTCGGTGTCAATGTTGATAGGTTTTGAAACTGGATTTATATTTCTAATATTGACGTCACTGTAATCTGATGGAGACTGAAAAGCGTTCTGGCTGATGATACTTTCTGGGGAACCGATGCTGGAAGTAAAGCCATGGCCCTCTAACGGAGAATCAAAATGTGGATTATCTTTGTTACCGATAAATGGCTCCTGCAAATAAACGAAATCTCATTTCATATAACTTTGTTTTACATTGAAGAGATGGTGCCGGTAGAGTTTAATAATATTGAAATTGTAGCACTAGTTTTCAACTGTAGTTTGAGTTTCATAAAACTGGGGAGGAGCTGATGCATAGTACGATAAACAAACATCAAGATAGTTATCAGCATCATCATCTCCATCTTGAAGATAGTTTGAGTCATACGGTCGAAATGTCGCAGTCCATCACAAGTATTGCAAATGAGCAGTAGCAAACTATATGGGCTACTTGGCATTACAAAAGAACCTCATATCCATACGAAATGAATTAATGGAAGATAAAAGATTATAGTAGAATCAGAGTACGTAAAAGTTAAGATGAAATCAAAGAAGAGAGAAGGGAGAAGGAATATGTGACCTGAAGACGTGGTGGATTCGGTTTGGGAGTGGCCATTGTGAACGCAAGGAGAAGGGAAGAGAAAGCAATGGCCCAAATAATTGCAGAGATAACAATGTGAAGAGTCGGCAAAGAGGAAGAAGAACCCAAAGACGAATATTGTGAAACCCGCCATTGGAAGTATCTAGTTGTATTATCAGCTTCTTGTTTAGTTCTGTGCTGTGCCGTGCCGTGCCGTGCCTCGACTGTCTTAGGTACTGACGCCGAAGCTCTAAGTCCTGCCTTGCGCGCTAAAACTAATTAAACTCGAGACTATTCGCAAGACCGTTTTCTTTATCCTAATATAATATAATAATTTTAAAATATACTCTTTCACAGTTTTAATAATACCTTAAAATTAAAAAAAAAAAATGAAGAATAAATAAATAAATAAATAAAATCTAGATAGAAAAAGAATACTTTGGACCGCCTATTTTCTGTTCCGGTGAAGGCGAGGCGCTACATCCAAAACCCGCCAAAGCGCAGGCCTGCGACGGCGATAGCTCCCGCGTAAGAGACGAAAGAGATGCGTTTTCTCTCCGTAACTTCAGATTTTAGCCTTAGTCCCCATTGCTTTCCACTAAAGGTTGATCTCTCTTCGCTAACTCTTCTTTGTATGCTTCTCTCGCTTAATATCCAAGGTTTTAAAGTTTTAAGCCTACCAGGTACAGCGACGAACTGCTGTTTGTCAAATGCGTAGACAAGTTAAGATTCTCAAGACCTTGGCGCCCCCTCTGATTGCTGTGCTTATAGCGTTATATCCTCTCAACAAAACCCCAGGTGAAACTCTTCCTTTCAATTTGCTACACGATATAAACGCATGATAGCAGCATGATCAAATTTTCCCAGAATCAGGTGTAGGGTGACTGTCTGGAAGTTGCTAAATCGTCGCTAATCTCACATTTGGGGTTAATTTATGAATTTGTGTCTTTTTTTTTTCTTTTTTTTTTTTTTTTTTTTTTTNTTTTTTTTTTTTTTTTTTTTTTTTTTTTTTTTTTTTTTTTTTTGAGAAAGCATTTTTCATGGATTATCACATCAAACAGATGGTTACCATTTAACGAAAGTCGACTTGTGTATTCAATTAATATTTGGAAGTGTGTGAGAGAAATATCCGCTTCTGACCCCACATTCTGTTTCCTAGTGTTACCGTCTTCCTTCATTCCATGTCAAAAGTTATTCATACGCTCATTAAGCTAAAGTCAGTCCACATTACTATGTAAATTAGGAAACAAATACAAGTATTACAAACTTCCATAAAAATATGCAAAATCATGAGCAACTTGTTTCCTTTGCGGTTTCTGCTGCCCTTTTTGTTTCTTGTTTGCTGTTATTATCTTTAAAAAAAATGTGCATTTCGTGGTTTCTTTTTTCCTTTTTCAAGAAACGATTTCGACATTACACATAGTTTTCCCTAAACAAAAATGTTTACATAATCGATCTTTTATTTCTTACCCCTGTCACGTCAATTTCTTTCTTTCTTTTCTTTTTCAAGCGAAGTTTTTCGTTTGAAATTTGGAAGCCGAAAAACCCAAATTTGAAACGACATCCAATAGACCCTCAATATACTTCTTTCTCTTAACGCATATCAAGGATCTTTTTGACGTGCAATTGTTTATACTTTTTTCTGACTTGGCTGCATCCATGTAATGTGTAAAAAGGATGTTATGCGCTTGCTCAATCGGCAGAAATAGAAAGAGGAGGTGCATTGTTTAGTCACGCTTGCATTGGCTGCCATGATGCTGGGGGAAACATAATTCAACCCGTTAGTGTTCCTATCTATAACACTACTGTTTAAATATTGATAAGCATCTGAGATCTGCTTTAATATGTTGGATTTTGAATTTTTATTAACGGTTATGTGGTTTCAATTTTTTTTCTTTTGCCATTCTTTCTGTGTGCTACATTTCGTTTCTGCAACCGACCTTTTGTCTTCTTCTCTCGTAGGGTGCGACGCTCTTTTCAAGTGATCTTGAAAGGTAATTTTCTAGAACCTTGAGAAAAAATGAAGTTTAATAACAGTATATGATTTCGGCCCAACGTGCATGCAACATTGCGTACTAGTATCACGAGGTATTAGGCGCGGATCTACTTTCTCTTCTCTTCTAATTATGGGTTCTATTTAAAATAATCATTTATTTTTTTTATTTTGTACAAGTGACTATAGTTTAGATTGGTTATAGATGAGGAAGATGGTAGATTCACGATTAAGGGCAATAGCTCTTTTGTTTTATGGACTTTTTGGTAGGGTCCAAAAGATCTACATGGTCTTAGACTCTTAGCTCAAAATGGGAAAAATCAGGCAAATATGCCAAGAACTGATTTTTTTTTTTTTTTTTTTTTNACTTCTGCTTCTAAAATATATTGGGGAGGGTACGGGGCGGTGAACATCCAATCAACCCTGAAGGAAATTTGAAGATTGAATTGGTGCGTTCCTATCAGTAAATTTTTCAAGGGAAATATACAAAACTCATTGCAACAGAGGACGTCATAAACGAGGCAACAATATGTATTCTACTGGACAAGCACCCTATAACACCCTGCTTGTGTTAAAAAAAAAAAAAAAAAAAAAAAAACTATTTTACAAAGAGTCTGTATATAATAAAATTCTCGAAATTTCTCCTTATCCAGCAATGCAGAAATCGCTTTACCAATTGTGTTTATGAGGTGATTGAACCAAGTCGAACGATAGTGAATGGTTGTTGTCTTGAAACCATAGGCTTGAGCTATTAGTTCTATAACCCTTTGCTCTGTTTCATTGTTCCTTTTTATAGAAACGGAGCTGATTCTGAAGAGGAGATTTACCAAATTACATATTACGGGAAAGGAAGAATGCCTGTAAGTGATTATTTGTTAATATTATGACTGTAACCAATATGGCTCTATTAGTTCAACGATTGGTGATGGGTTTCAGGGTTTCGGTGAAAACTGCAAGCCAAGGGGTCAGTGCACATTTGGTCCCCGTTTGCAGGAGGAAGAGATTAGGGTTTTGGCGAAGTTTGTAAAGATACAGGCAGATCGGGGGTGGCCAAACCCATAGATGCCGATTGATTTTTGCGCCAGAATATTATGCATTGGTTACCAATTCATAATTTATATTAACATTGTATATAATTCTCCCAAATCCCTATCTGAATCCATGGCCTTAGGCATGGATCATGTCATCTGGAGAACTAGAATGGATTGCTGCGATTACTCTTGTGATAAATAGCAATGTTTAAACACTGTAAGCATGCCGTCTGTTTCTGAAACTTGATATCCACACTTTGCTATAGCACAAGAAATGATCATAAAACAAACGACTCGCTAAAATGCTTCAATTTCAAAGTTTTGAAATACATGAATGTATCTGGCAATGGAACAATGAAAAGTATACCGATGCATTTGTTAATTGTTCTTATTCAATGTTCTCTTTCGAAGATTTGAGAGAAAGATTTAAGATTAAATTTGATTGATCGATTGATTTCTAGGGAAGTGGCTTGAAGATAAAGCAAATGATGTGAATCGTTGCATGAACTTAACATGAGATGGGTCTATCAAAAGTTCATTATCTGCTTATTTGGTGCGTCCAATTGAAAGTGTTTTTACTAGAAAATTAAAAGAGGAGAAAAAAAAACATCAAAAGCAAACTTGAAGAACATTATGAAAAAGATCGACTTATCTGAAATGGGTGTGCTCTGTTCTGGGTGGGGTGCAAAAGCAAGATCCATTGAAGCTATTGAAGCTGCATGCAGTAGGCAATAGTGTTGTTGGAGATTGAGTGATTGAAGCTGCAAGATGATCTGATGGAAGGAACCAACTTTTTGATCATAAATTTACCCGTCCCCAGATCATGCTGGCAGCTTCAACCTCTCAAACCAACACATGTTACAAGACCAGCACAGACACAGAGAGAAAGGGCTAAACAATTTACAACAAAGCTTGAGAGCTGCTTCAAAGGTTATAAGAAAAAGGAAAAAGAACAAGGCAGGCCATATGAGCTCTCGTGACTCTGTGTGTGTACTGAGTCGTCTATCCTATCCTTTGAGTTGGCACAGTGGTTGGGGAGTAGTTTATATAATGCAGCTTTTCTGCTGTTGTTTACAGCTATTTTTCGCTGACCCATAAGCGTACTGTCCAATCCCATTATAATCATATTGTTTAACTTGATCGAATAGATAGCTGGAAATTCTATGGTGTTGATTAGTGGTTATTCACACGCAACCAAGTAATGAAGAAGAACAATAAGAACTGATGGGGTTTTTTTTTCAAAAAAAAAAAAAAAAAATGAAGTGTTCCATGACAAAAGGCCTAGCCAGCCGGCTACAAGACTGCATTTTTTAGTTGGAAAATGTGAAAAGGCAGATCAGGTTGGTGCGTGTTTGGAATCTGTTGTCGATCGCTTCGGTGTGGTTTGGCCTTTGAGATTGAGTTGGTTTGGTTTGTTTGTCTTAATAATTCTGTGTCGTCTTTTGGTTCAAAAAACGATGTATTTGACAATTCCATGAAATGACAGTAGACAATAGACAACACATAACAGACAACAGACACCAACCTTTTTTTTTTTTTTTTTTTTTAATTTAAAAAAAAAAATGAAGAACATGAACACCTAGGCTTTTGAATTCTACTGCCTGCTCACATGCTTTTGTTACGTAATGAAGATCAAAGAGTTGACTATTCTCTCATTTGAACAAGGTTTGTATGAACGCGTAGCAGTTGGGGGCCAGGGCTGCATAATAATCTAATCCCAAATACCATTTCATTTCTAATCCTTTTTTAAAGTGAACAATTATGGTAGGTGTTCCATCATTTGTTTCATCGACTTCAGATCCATCTTCACTCACTAGTTTCATATTTTCTTCTCACCCCAGATTCTTATAACACAGCACCTTCACTCACTAGTTTCACATTTTCTTCTCACCCCAGATTCTTATAACACAGCACCTTCACATCAAATTATCAAATATTGGTTCGACGTTGTACGACGAGCTACCAAGTCCTACTAACGTGATCATGTTTCATGGGTTAATATGGTCGTGTTTCTCTTTATTTGGGTGCTAATCTGTATGTTTCTAAGACATGGGAACGTGTATTTGAAATCAACACTAACAACACCGCACCTTCAATGGAAAAACCAACACAGTTCTAAACGATGGGCATCAAGACAACAATTCAGAAGAGAAAGAACATCGAAAAGGGACCCTTTTATTGGGTTCCAAATTTTTTCATTTTTGGCTTCTGATAAGTTTATATATATGTATATATATATTTAAACTTATTTTTTTCCACGAGTAGCTATGGTACAAGGACTTCAGCAGCCTATTGGTCCAGGTAAAAGGAAAAATTAGCCCCTCTTTTCATAATATGTTGTATGAACTGAAAACTAACCTGAAAGCTCTCACTTCACAGGACATGTTTAAAAGAATGGCAAATCTCCCACCTTTTATGACAGCTAAATTTGGCCGCACAACGATCCCAACTGAGTATGGAGATATGACATTATTTCAGTTTTCAATACCAAATTGAATCTTTTATTTCAGTTCACTGTTTGATAATTGAAAGAGAATCCAAGTGCTTCCTTCTCTTTGCTTCTGGTTCACCCAACTGCAGCATCACTGATACCTCACTATCATAGCCATTCCTCAGGGCGGACACATTTTTCAACTCTTGGCTTCCTTCCCTCTTCAGATGCAGCGGAAAGCTGCTGGTTAATTTTTGTAAAAATTGGAGCTCGATGCTCGGACCCATCTCAAACCCATTTTCTGTGTGAAGTGCAGCATGCTTAAAAGGTGAGATCAGCCCCTGAGAGGATTCACCTTCAGGGGAAATTTGCTGGACACTTAAACCAAGTGGCTCCGAGTTCTCTTTAAGTTTATATTTCAATGGGATCCGATCGAGACAGGACTCGGCAGCAGTAGAATCAATCCCTCCAACTGAATTGTTCCTTTGTTCTTGCACTGCAGCTTAATTAGTCATAAAATGAGGTGAAAAAAATGAAGTCAGAAAGACATGAATAACATAAAACATTTCCGAGAGCCAAAAAGTCATGACAAAACTTCATTTACTCTAATTATTGCATGGGTGCATGCGAAGGTTCCTGGACCATGACACAGTTCAAACTTTGATACCTCACTTATGAATGAACAACCCCTTTAGGTACCTACACGATTATTCTAATAATGTGCAAATATGAACATATGTTGGCAACATATTAGAGAAACTTATGACAAAGACAGCAATCAGGAAAATGTACCAAAACTTTATTAGCACTATCACACTCAACACATGCAACTTGGTAGGTTGTTACACAATGTGGTAGAACAAAAAGTAACCTCAGATCTAAAATGGCTATACTGATTGGTTGAGGTAACCAAACCTTGTAAACCATCATGTGTAGTAATAAGATCAAGCTCAAGGAGATCAAGAAGGCGTCCAAGATCAACTCCACTGGTCCAATTCTCTGGAGGCTGACCAACTTTTAGTTTCAGTCGACCTCGATTCGCTGTTCCTCCCCAGATAATCCCAACTGGACGTGGCTTTTCCTCATCCTGACCAGTTAAGAGAATAAGGCTTCCACTGTCTCCTTCAAGGTCAAACGTCTGTTGGTCGTCTCCAACAACAAGAAAGTCGGTGAAGAAACAAATCCCTTTTACATCATTATACTCAAGGGCATACGCCATTATAGTCCCTCTGGTCAACCCAGAACTTCTTCCAACCTTGATCACCTTTCGTCCAATAAGACTGTTGATTGGGGATTGTAGGTCTATTTTGTTGACATCACCAACCTCACCAACGCCTTTTACAAATGTAATGACATTATTCATGTTGAAATCTTCAGCAAAGGGAATGAACGCTCCATCAGCTCGCACAAATGTTTCTGCAGAAGGCACCAAATTGTGATGGGCATTGCACACAATTCATCATATAAGATACATACCAATAATACAGTTTTGGATCAAGATGTTTCTCAGAATATACTGCTTTTATTACCTGGATTTGTTCCAGCAAAGATGCCATACCAGACATCATCTGTGATAAATGATGTTGCTCTCTCCACAGCACCCAGATATACACCAGGTCCAAGGCTGGGAGGCAAAGGATGAAACATTTTCTGACTAGGGTAGTCTAAATCAACTGCAACATGCCGGTTTGTAAGGAATCCAACTTGCCGGGTTCCTGTTCGGCTTTTGACAATTGCACCCAATGTCCCGTAAGTTTCTTGGCTAGCAACCTACAAAGAAAGAAGTCGGATACCACGAGATAAGAAATACAAATAAGAAAAGTACTTAACATAGCTGCAACTGACAAATTCATGTAAAACGTAATCAATATGACTATTGTTAAGAAAAAAATACGACTTTTAAAATACTACAGGCCTACTCCAGTTCACCTACCGCTATGATTTATTTATAAGTCCTATGGTTTGGGGAGTAGAGCACAGCATACTTTAACACTACAACCTGAAACTTGCTCCAGGCAATTTTGGCAGATTTAATTAGAATAGAATGAAGGTCTTGAAGTACACACGTGAATGATGATAACATTTGGAGTATTACTACTTTCATGGTTCCTTCTGAGATTCGACGAGAATATTAGTTTCTCAAAACTTCTGTGGTCTGTATCATGACCAATCTGTAACCATTCTTATATATCTTCTCATCAATATTCTAATTCTAGTTAGACCTGAGTTTCAAATTCTTTTTTGCATAGCCTAGCGTATCCTCCATGAAGTTTTCCTCTCAAAAAGAAAGGTAGGAATATTTACATTAAAATCACAAAGCATCAGACATATGATTGAAAACACACAATTATTTACTTATTTGATCTCAAAAGTTGCAACTAAAAGCATGTAAATCTAAGTAGAGAGTTTTAGGACACGTAGAGATGAAAAAGGAGACAAATGGTTAACCACCTACATTAATGGTGCCCATGATTCAACATAAATAAGGTATGGTTAAATGTCGTAGAATGATTAACAAAATAATTTCATCGCTTTTCCTTACCTTTTACAGATTTTTTTGGTACATAATGAGCAAATCTAACAAGTCCAATGTGTTTTCCCATTTTAATAAAGACTTGGCTAACATTGACAGAGTTTCACTTTTCTGAAAGAGGAAAAGGTACCTGGGAACCAGAACCAATTGTTGGATCACTTCCCCTCAGACCATCAACAAGCTCTGTATATATTTCTTCTTTAGGTGTAGCTGCCGGAGCACCATAATAGGAGAACTCCACAACATCAACATCACACCATATACCTCCAGGTCCCTAA